ACGCAAACCAGTGGCTGAAAGTATGAGCATCGAACGACCCACACAGTCGAAACATGATGGCTCACACCACGCATTGTAACTATCCAATCCCTGTCGACTGTTCTGCCCGACATCTCCACAATGTCAACTGAAGGCAGACTGCGCTATTACATTAAATACAATTATGAATTCTTACAGCGCACTTTCCAATTTATCTTTCCAATGCGCTAAGATCATGATAGATCTAGTCAAAGGCTTGAAGAGACAGGTACTCTGTGGTTTTTAAATGTTTGTCAAAATTTTTGATTCTCTGATATTTGGTGCCAGATTGTTCTACAACACTGGTCCAGCATGTTGACATGACCTGTCACGTACAGGTATGGCTTGTTCCGTGACTTTGGTACCGACAGCTGATGTTGACTTTGATAGGAGTGAGCTATGTGCGAGCTATGTGCGAGCTATGTGCTATTCACAGAAAAATAGACGATAAAGTAAAGGGTTACAGTTACATGATTAGTGGTACATGGCAAAAATATACACTTCCATTGTCACGGGTGGGGTGAAATGAAGTTTACGGGTTTAAGGTCGCGTTCAAGAGTATTGCTTTTTAATAGCGACGTGCATGCATGTGTTTGCGTGCGTGTGGCCCCTTATATTAGTCGGGACAAGCTAACATCTTGTCTCTGAAATGAACTTATTTTATAGAAAAAAAACAGTTAAATTAAATTTATAAAACATAATCAAAAGGAGCCAAGAGCCTTTCTTCATTTTCAGATACTGCAGTAATCTAGACTTGCCAAATAATATAGACATGCAAAGGCTTTATTGGATATATTTGTTTCAAGGCCTGTGTGACAGACTATAGTCCGGACTAATGATTCATAGCGCAAGCTCACTGAGATACCATGCGGCTGTTTGACATGGTTACCCCACAGTATACTGACTCCGAGCCGACCAGTCCTTGTTTTACCCATTAATGCTGAGCGCCAGACATGTACCATCTGTTAACGTCTTTTGGTATGACACAGCAGTTAGGTGATCAAACCACCGAGGCGTCCACAATGTCAGAGTGTATGAGGCCGTACCTTCATATTGATGTTGTAGGTCTTTCAGGATGCAGGTCATTGTATTTTTGTAGTTCATTCCTGTCTCTCCGTGTACTGTCGCAATGGATTGTTCTAGATATATTAAATCTGTTTGTCTACAAATTATAACCCCATAATTGTCATAGTAAGATATACCGTGTAGATATGATTTGTTTGTTTGTTGTTTAACGCCGCACTCAGCAATATTCAAGCTATATGACTGCGGTCTGTAAATAATCTAGACCGGACCTGATAATCCAGTGATTGATATCATGAGCATCGATCCACGTAATTGGGATCGATGACATGCATCAACCAAGTCAGCGAGCCTGACCACCCGATCCCGTTAGTCGCCTTTTACGACAAGCATGGGTTGCTGAAGACTTATTCTATCCCGGATCTTCAAGGGTTGTGTAGATATAAGAAATATCACACCTCTGAGACCTCACAACAATACATCTGCGTTTAACATAATGATTCATGTAACTGAACATGACTAAACGTGAATGCCTTTTATAAGGTGTGCGAGTTCATACAAAATGGAACGGAATAGAAAACAGAATATATAGAACATGAAGAGTTAATACCCATCTAGAAATTTATTTTTGACCGCTTATATCTCGCCATCTCGCGCATTATTACAAAAGTATAGTGCGTACAACTTAAGTGTCTACTGTACAACGTATAATGTGTTCAACTATACAACGTCTACTGTACAATGTTTAATGTGTTCAACTATACAACGTATAGTGTTTACAACTATACAACGTATATTGTACAACGTATAATGCGTACAACTATACAACGTCTACTGTACAACGTATAAGGTGAACAACTATACAACGTCTACTGTACAACGTATAATGTGTTCAACTATACAACGTATAGTGTTTACAACTATACAACGTATATTGTACAACGTATAATGCGTACAACTATACAACGTCTACTGTACAACGTATAATGTGTACAGCTGTAGTGTCTACTGTACAACCTATAGCGTGTACAACTAAACTGTCTACTGTACAACGTATACGTGTACAACTATACAACGTCTACTGTACAACGTATAGCGTGTACAACTAAACTGTCTACTGTACAACGTATAGCGTGTACAACTAAACTGTCTACTGTACAACGTACAGTGTGTACAACTAAACTGTCTACTGTACAACATATAGCGTGTACAACTAAACTGTCTACTGTATAACATATAGCGTGTACAACTAAACTGTCTACTGTACAACGTATAGCGTGTACAACTATACAACGTCTACTATACAACATATAGTGGGCCCACCTATTCAACGTCCACATTACACAGCACAGCTTCTTTCCTAATTTGGATTAATCCCATGTGTATCTAGGGATTTCTAGGGCGATGCGCATTACTGCACTATAAGCCGATCTGGCAACCGGCCTTGGGATTAGCTCCGCATTAAGGCACACAACGCCCCTGCCCCACAACTGTCTGACCGGTCAAGCGGAACGGTTTTGAAAAAATGATTGCTTGGGTTGAAGTACGCTGAATGTGAACAGGGATTGATGGGACGAGGCAAATCTAGTGTCAGGTGAAAATACTTCCGTGCACATGTCCCGCTATGCGGAGAAATGGGACTACATAATCTTTGTAATCACGTTTATAATATGATTACGTGTTGAAGGTTATCTGTGGGTTCTACACACAGCTGACACAACTGCCTACACGCCTACACGTCATGTCGTCTAGTTAGAAGCGTGTTACTCCATACACTACCATAAAATGCCTAATAATGCCACGTTTAGAAAATAAATAAAAAACATAAACGTAAAATTGAGCAGTTTCAGTTCTCGACATTAATTGATAATATCAACGCTGGTGTATTTGCCCTTGTCGTACTATCAACAGGCGCAGTACACAGCGAGTGATACACTCCCTAAGACATCACTGTGACCGACAACTCCATGAACTGACTGTATGTGAGTGTCTGCAGCAGTGGGTCAGTCGTAGCATGTTCCCCACACCTTATATTAGTTGTGCCTACCCACCACCAGCCCAAGTATCACTGTAGACCATATGTATACTGACCTGTGGACGTATTGAGGACACACCCTGTATAAATCAATCTCAACAAGGTACAGTTTCTGGAACTCGTGGATGTCTGATAGCGAAAATACTCTGGAAATATATCTACTCTAGAAATATATATACTATAATAATCATTATTTAATGATAATAGAGTAAAGCCCCGTCAACCAGGAAAACATCGCTCTCAGAGAAACTAACGAATTATTAGAAAAAAAAATATCAGAATTTGACGTATTCAGTGGCATAGCTGTCCGGTAAAACAGTACGTAAATGCAGTATAAGGTGTGGTTGGAACTTCCGAATAATGCCACAAGACGGACAATAGTTAACATTCCGGACAATAAGATAACGGGTTTGGTTTGATGTTTCTTTATTGATATTGGATCTTGCGATACACTCGCTATACATAATTCATAATAATAAAACATAGGCTTGTCTCGTCTCGGCCCACCCTACCTGACCGCATTCCTTACTCTCACACACAACTGTAACCCGTCATTAAGACGTAATGTTGCATGTCTACATAAAGGAAGATTAACATTGGGTAAGCTGTGACGCATTCAAGTACGTCCACGTAGATATGCATAGAAGATAGGTATCTATCACCGGGGTGACCTTACGCAATCACAGAAGCGACCCTGCGGGGGTGCTGGTTTGCTCCCGGGGGACGGGCGATTACCTCATCTCGTGTGGTCATGGTGCTCGCGGTATAATGAATATTGATTCTAATTCTCTTGTCGAGGATTTTCTTAAAGTACATGTGTTTTTATAAAACATATCACTTTCACAAACGAAATCAGCTTATGTGTGGATTAGTCTGATGTAATATTCAATTTAACTAACGATTACACATAACCGATTTGACACACTTCAGTTTTACGCATGTTTGTATTTAGGTTTTGATAAAAAAACGGAAAAATATATTGGGGAAGTTGTCTGCCGTAAAATCAATGTGATAAGTATAAACGTGATTGGTTCAGCCGGAAAGATTTGAAAGATCAGGATGCTGTTTGTGTGAGCAGTGTATAGAATGTTGAATCATTCGCAGCCTTGTATTTTCCGTAATTGTACACGTCCAATAACGTTGTAACAGCCTCGATGACAGACTGGCTATCTGACAACCCAACGGCTTCCTGCACTCACTCAGGAAGTAGATCTCACAAACACACGTAACGACTCACTACATTTATAGGGAAATGATTCAAGGTCTCCTTTATCATTGAATTCATACAGAATTCTTTTCGTTTGTGTGATTACTGTTAATATTTAATAATATATATCAGACTTTACTTGCCAAATCAATAAAAGTAAACAGTTTTACAATTATCAACAAACTTAAAAAGTGAATATTACGTTCTTAATAGCACATGTTACTTTGATTGAATAATTGTGCCTAAATACATTCTAAATACAAAATTATATGTGAAATATTTCTGTTTGAATGTTAATTGACAATAAAAACTACAATATGATTGGAATTAAGTACCTGCGTCCCAAAAACAAAATGTATACTTTCCGAGAAGCTAACGATCAGATGGACGTTTGTTTACTGTGATATATATACTATTATGAAATATTTCAACACAAGTACACGCATAGATATTGATAACATATTTCGGTATTTACGTTATCTGCTAACGTCACCTACAACCCTGCCTAGGAGCAAATGGCCAAATTCGGCCTTAGGTCAATCACTCTTATGGGGCAGTGCGCAGCGTCACCCAGCTATTGTTCGGCTTGAGCGTGTTGACGGTGAATAGCCCGTACACCATACCATATATGGCAGAAAGCATTTCCTTATTTGGAGAGTTAGTCTGGATTTCCTAGAAGCCGCGATCGAACGGGTTATAAATAGATGTCATGTGGCGTATTCGGTCTCAGTTGAACTTAGTCAGCGGCCGGCGAACTCGTGTGTGAATTTTGTTTGTGTTTCAACGGAAAATTTAAGTAATCAAAATGTGTGACGAAGATGTTGCTGCGTTGGTTATCGACAACGGCTCCGGCATGTGTAAGGCCGGGTTCGCCGGTGACGACGCCCCCAGAGCTGTCTTCCCCTCCATCGTCGGTCGTCCCCGTCATCAGGTTTGTAATATTTCTATCGTTTGTTGCAAAAACGTTTCAGTCGATTTCAAATATTAGCCATGTTGGTTTGAACTAAAGTTCATCAACCACTCCCTGAAGTAAGCCTTATTAGATTAGATTTACCTTCCTAGTTGAATATGCTTCATATTATTTTGTGATGTAGTATATCAAATAAATGGAGTTTATTCTATATTACGATTTTGATTCGTTTCGTCATCAAATCAAACGTATTGCATACGATTTGCAAAGTTGCCAAATGGTAACACTATATTCAATGAAACAATGTGGCGTCTCTTGTCTAGAGATGGACAACGCCCCTAGTCTCATTGTCTTGATTAAATCAATATTTGGTATCCAAATATATTTGTCATCCGGTTTGAGGCTCTGCAGCGATCATTATCAGTTGTGTTGAAATAGGCATGTCACGAGTAGCCAGTGCCGGCATTGCACGAAATATCGTTGATTTCTAAGTCTTTATTCACGCATGGACTCCAGGCTTTGCCCTCGGGCGGCAGTTTAGAACCGGTTTCACGTGGCCGGTGTGGAGTTCTTGCCACGCCCCCTGATCGCGTCCATTGTTAGTCATGTGACCTCCCGCATGAGCTAACGTTTCATTACATGGTTCGATGAATTTAATTTATTCCAAAACCAAAGATTCATTTTAATTTCTTATTTTCTTTCTTTATCAATTTTTCACTTTGAGCAAAATATTTATCGCATCCATTGTTAACATGTAAGGAAATTTAAAAACCATCATATGTATATATATTAACATCCTTGACATATTCTGTCGTTAATCTGCTGTTTGGTTTGCATAAATATTATCTTTAACCCGGAGATGTGATTCTGCGAGGCCAGCAATCATGTGATGACGTCACACGAAGTCGTATGATGTGTTGGTTTCACAGATGGCTTACCATAAAAGGGCATAAATGAAACGCCACACATGGGATTTATTATTAGCATCCGCTTTGAAATATTTAACATGTTTCCTTCTCTGATAGCTTTCAGCCTTTAATAATATCAGTATAGGAAAACAATTTTAATGTAATCGTGTTGAACGGGACTTTGATGATATTTATTTGTTACTTTGTTTGTGCTTTTTGCTGTGATATTTGTCAATGTAGCCATTTGTCAATATGCTTAATATATTTAGCTAACGAATTTTGTTAATTGTTTCAGGGTGTGATGGTCGGTATGGGACAGAAGGACAGCTACGTCGGTGACGAGGCTCAGTCCAAGAGAGGTATCCTCACCCTCAAGTACCCCATCGAGCATGGTATCGTCACCAACTGGGATGACATGGAGAAGATCTGGCATCACACCTTCTACAACGAGCTCCGTGTGGCCCCAGAGGAGCACCCCGTCCTCCTGACTGAGGCTCCCCTCAACCCCAAGGCCAACCGTGAAAAGATGACCCAGATCATGTTCGAGACCTTCAACTCTCCAGCTATGTATGTGGCCATCCAGGCTGTTCTGTCTCTGTACGCTTCCGGTCGTACCACGGGTATTGTTCTGGACTCTGGTGATGGTGTCACCCACACTGTCCCCATCTACGAGGGTTACGCCCTTCCCCACGCCATCATGAGACTGGATCTCGCTGGACGTGACCTCACAGACTACCTCATGAAGATTCTCACTGAGCGTGGTTACTCATTCACCACCACCGCTGAGAGAGAAATCGTCAGGGACATCAAGGAGAAACTCGACTATGTAGCTCTCGACTTCGAGCAGGAGATGGCTACTGCTGCCTCTTCATCCTCCCTGGAGAAGAGCTACGAGCTTCCCGACGGTCAGGTCATCACCATCGGAAACGAGAGATTCCGTTGTCCAGAGGCCCTCTTCCAGCCATCCTTCTTGGGTATGGAATCTGCTGGTATCCATGAAACAACATACAACTCTATCATGAAGTGCGATGTTGATATCCGTAAAGACTTGTACGCCAACACTGTTCTCTCAGGAGGTACCACCATGTACCCCGGCATCGCTGACCGTATGCAGAAGGAGATCACAGCCCTTGCCCCCAGCACAATGAAGATCAAGGTCATCGCACCCCCAGAGAGGAAATACTCCGTCTGGATCGGAGGCTCCATCTTGGCCTCCCTGTCCACCTTCCAGCAGATGTGGATCAGCAAGCAGGAGTACGATGAGTCCGGCCCATCCATTGTACACAGGAAGTGCTTCTAAATTGTAGGACTCCTGATAGTATTACGTACGGAACTGTTATGCAAACAACCTGTCATGTCTGTGTTCAAATGCACACACACACAACCAAATATGTTGGCGCCATCGCTCAATTTCGACCTGTGAACTATGCTCAACAGCCCAAATAAGACCCTAGCCTGATACGTGTGTATCACACTGGCTGTGTCGTCGATCAAACTTGTACATGTATTCATCTCTGTGCAATTGGTCATATCCTTGTTATGTCACTTTTTTGAAGTTTTTTTTATAAAAATGTTAAAATGCATTCCTGAATAAAAAAAATAGCAAAAACCTCATTTTCTGTTTTGCTTCGTATTATTTCTAATCTTTGAATATAAGATGGGGTAAACTGAAGGTCAAGGTTACGATGTTCAGTACTGAGAGGAGGGGCGTATTCATATTGTGTCCCATTTGTGGCTAGGGGCCAGCGGTCGCATTCTTTTGGAGACGCATTTATTTCACGAGTTACGGCACATGCACGCATCTGGAATACAAACAACAAACCCGAAATTATTTTAGAAAAACAGCAAATGTTTTCACTCGAATTTATTATACAAGGTCAAACATGGAGTGAAATAACAAATGCAGTAACTGTTTAAAGTAACAATCGATTCTTTCTTGAGGGAGTATTTGAAAAGTAAAGTCGACCTGTGGATTATACAAAGTTCACCTAGTTTTTACAACCCAATTTTATCAATGCCGGTGTGGAGAAGTGTTTCTCAATTTGTCATGGGTTTTAAAACGGTTATATTAGGCAGACAGAAGTGAATAGGCATGAGTGTTGCGGTTACATTTGGCAGGGATTGTTGGTGTGGACGAATCAGCAATGTGTGGGGCAATATGTAAGCAGTGACGGTTGCCATAGACAACTGCACGGGGGTCAAGGGTCAAGAACGTGATAACTGCACACGTATACAGAAGATTTGTATATTTAAGTGTCGCGTATTGTTCAACATACAATTACTAGGTATTTCGTTTAGGTATGTACCAGATACCTAATACCAGCCAAACAAATATATAAAGAAGCACTTGCAATTCGACTGTTCAGATCAAAATATTTAAAATAAAATACAAAGCTGAATACCTTCTCCAGGTTTCTTTCGAGTTCACAGAAGCCCGAAATTACATACACACACGCACGCACACACACATATATATTATTGATTGTGTGTGTGTGTAAATTGAGTAATATTGTCGTTATTTTGCTGTTTAAAACTACCCTAAAGATGTCCCATCTGATAGTTACTGGCGTTTATTTGAGACTTTTTGAAAAGTTCAAAAAGTTACCGCGATGATATTAACTGTCAGCTTATAAAGATTTCAAATTTAGGTCGTGTATGATATCTTCCGTCTCCGACGGCAGTATTTTCAAATAGAGCGGCTTCTTCTTGGTTCGTTTTGTACAATAGCACAATGATATGAATGGCACAGTCGAGTGAGGCATAATGGACTCGGCCAGGCGTATCCCGGACAGCTGCGTGAAGTTCAACCTCAACGTTCTCCACACAAAGAAAGCTCTGCGCCGAGCTACCCGGAGCTGCTGACACATGCACATTGCCCGCATCCCCCCGTCAGGTGGAAGTTCAGGCCAGCCCGTGCAAGTCGTCTCGAAACGTTCATACAATACACTATTTGGGCAAGGCAAATAGACTTCGAGCAATCGTGAACAGCCAGTGCATGCTGAATCACGTTCCTAGATGTGCGCCCTGGTCAGTTTGACATATATATTCTGATATGATGTGTGTGTGTGTGTGTGTGTGTGTGTGTGTGTGAGTGTGAGTGTGTGTGAGTGTGTGTGTGTGTGTGTAAAGGCCTAAAGCATTTTCTGCTACAATGTCCATTTTATGATATTCACCTCAATGAATTACCGGTACATTTAATAATACTGCTTTTGTCAATAATACACAAGATGCCAAAAATATGATATTAATGCAAAATGCCTCAGCTGTCGCCGACTTTGGTAAAATGTGTTTTAAAATGTATGCCCGACGACAACGCTTTTTAAACGTTGTTTGACCAAGTAATTTTTACCAAAGTTATATTTTATATACGTACTGTATAATTATTTTAAAAACATAGAAAATATGTGATAAATTTTTTAGTGTTTTGTGTCTCCTCGGCCTATATTGGCCTTGCAGAAAAGTAATTATATTTATGACAATTCAATACTAAACACTAGTGACAGCTAGAGATTTACTGAAAATAAGAAGCTCTGTCCTCGCTTGAAAAAAATGCAGTTATCTAGTCTTGCCAAATATGATAGCCTTGCAAGGGCTGTGTTGGATATATATGTTTCAGGGTCTGTATGACATACAAATCAATCGTTTACGACGAGCAGTCTTTGATTTTACTACAGGAAGAGTCACGAAGATATCACGGGTAGGAACTCCGGGCTCATCATCATGGAATGGAAAGTGGTATCGGTATGGAAACATAATCCGGTAAACTTGGCATCACGAACCTTTGTAAATGTAATTAGTGTCACCTAGCAGGATTTACATTTAATAGGCTCTATACGTCCACGCTGTGCCAACTTGCTGTAAACCACAATATCTTCCCGAGGCAAGGGAGCTAACCGACTCTAAAAGTCCAGTTAAAGCCAATTAACTCCCTTGCCTCGGGAAGATGTTAACCACTGTCCCACATTCCAATAAGTTAGGTGATTCCCAATATGTGGGCGTTTCTGCAGACAAACGTGTCTGCATGTCATTTAGCACTTTACGATAAATAATGCGATTCTGGGGGGTGAGACGGGAAAAGAACGTGTGCATAATTTTTATTCTTTTTAAACGCGCTTTCAAAAGTTTCCCAGTAAGTGAAAATGCGCCTTACATTTCGATTATTTTAAGAATGACATACCATACAGAGATCACTCTTATTTCTGTCCTTCCCTATTAGAAATTTCATAAAGAATAAACAAAATGGACAATAGCTATTCATAATACATGATGGAAACACTCGGCTGATGATCTCATCTTTTCCAATTAACACAAAAATACATATTGCAAGACTAAAATGTCTAACTGAGCGACCGTAAACAATGTTGGTATACTGTTTCATCGGGACTAGGGAAGAACATCCGCTTTTGTGGAGCACGCTTCATAATTCACCGCTTGCATGTTCTCTTGACATATATAAAGCTACTGGGTTAGATTTCGTTGAAAACGATTATTTTATCGATGCTGCCATATATTTAATACCACTTCTAACAGATTTCTTTAACTTGATACCAGATTGCTGGCTGAAGGGTATAATCAGACCAATATATAAGAAAAAGGGTGAACACCTAGATCCGAATTCATATAGACCTATAACAATTCTCAGCTGTTTCGGAAAACTGTTCACACGTATCCTTAATGCGAGGCTTACTGAGTCAGTTGGGTTTAGAGCCGCTTTTAACAGTTTTCCAGTTACATCACGGCGTGCCAGCTTAATGTTGGAGGAAAGCCCGAAGTGATGCAGGTATCACACGTTTACCACTTCGGTGAAACCCACGAGCACGGGTATGGTGCTGACAAACCTAGAAACATAATCGGGGCGAACCCACAATCATAGGTTTCTGGCGTGTCGATAATTATACCAACCGTGGTACAAAGATGCACAGAACCGGGAGATTTGTAGAAGGCATCAATGTTTTTAGCAGAAAATGCAACAAATGCATATGTTCATTATTAAAAAAGGACGTTAATTAATTTGCCTTTGGATTCTTTAATATGCGCATTTGAAACTTTGATTGCCCCGTTCCTAATGTACTGTTGTGAAATCTGGGCGTTTGAAAACATTAAATAATTGAAAAAGTTCAGTTAAAATGTCATAAATTGGCAGCAGGTTTTCGAATTGCAACACTAAACCATATGATTTATAGAGAACTCAGAAGGGAACCCCTGTATATTAAAATGTACAAACGTGTTATTCTATTCTGGCATGAAATGGCAATCTATAATCAAACTCCAAAATTAACAAATATTATCTATAAATTTATCACTCATAACTACGCGGGCATCCCTGAAAAACTCCCATGGACAACACGTGCACTTGTCAAGAAAATATTAAACAACTGTGGACTAAGAAATAGATGATAACCCATTAATATGTTCATCATTATGACTAGCTTCAAAAGTTGAAGAAATATTGAAAGACCAGGTCTTGAAATTGGCACAGTTCCATTACCGGGAGTTCTAAGGGTGTGTACTATAAACTGTTTAAAGAAAATAAATACTTTGAATTATATCTTTATCTGCCTAAAGACATTTATTACCCAATCTTAAAATTTAGAACCACAAACCATAACGTACCAACTGAAACTGGACGCTGGTCTGATATCCCAAGAGTGGAACGTTTGTGTAATTTATGTAGTTCTCCCGCGTTGGGTGACGAGTTTCTTTACCTTTTCAGGTGGGCAGTTCTTCTCCAATGGCGGTCTATGTACATACCTAAAGATCTCTCCGAATGTCCTGACATGTATAAATTGAAAAAGTGTTTATCCAGCACTAGAGTAAAATATATGAAAACTTTGTTCACATTCATCAATACCATCTTTAGAAATGTTGAAGCTGTTAAAAACGTGTATAAGATTCTTGTCACTTTATTTTTGTCATATTTCATTGAAACTATTAATCTCTAAATGTATTTGCACAATATCCCTGTCATCTTGATATTATTATTATATATCAATTCATAATATACTTTATTCTCATGCACCACCGTTGGTGGGTCTTTCTGACAATAAACTGAACTTAACTGAACTGACTGTTTGCGTGTAGATCGATGCTACAGACCATATTTCCGGGGTAGAATAGGTCTTCAGCAATCCATGCTTGCCTTAAAAGGTGACTATGCTTGTCGTTAAAGGCGACTAATGGGATCGGGTGGTCAGGCTCGCTGACTTGGTTGATGCATGTCATCGCGCGATCCCAATTGCGTGGATCGATGCTAATGATATTAATCACTGGATTGTCTGGTCCAGACTCGATTATTTACAGACCGCCGTCATATAGCTGGAATATTGCCGAGTGCGGCGTTAAACAACAAACCAAGCTACCAACCAACCAACCAACCAACCAACAGACCATATGTTTTGGTGAGTGTCGGGAAATGTACATATATACAAGTGCAAGATATACCTCCGTTCTGTCATACGTTCAGATGGGCGCTTCCGAATGAAGCCCTCACAACCTGCTGGCAACCTCGGGTCCAATTTTTATGCAATCATTAAAAACGTCCGTCTTATTTTAACAAATATTCTGTATATTTAGCAAATGCTCATACTTTCGAAATAACCGCCTGAATAATTCTCGGACTCACAAACTTGGTTGACACGGGATGAAGACGTTACTTTTACGACCGCTTCTTCTAGGGGAAGCGTGATCGCTCAATTGTTAGCTTTCATATACATACTATACTCTGTCGTTATTATATTAATATGATGAATGTCATTCTGTAATCAACCTGAACGGTTTGGCTTGGCCATTTACCTGTAATCCCACTGACTTTGACCCACACTACACCTGTACTGAGATAGCAGCGTCTTTAAATTTTATAAAGACAATATCTGATACACAAAAATCATGAGCTTTTTTAATGAATTAAAAAAAATAAAACCCCACGTGAATCTTGTTAATGTGGATTTCTAAACCATCAAGGCGAATTCCCTTGAGATAAATTATTTTGTCTGACGAACGCACTTTTGTCGTTGGTGATTTGTTTCTGGTCAGATGTATTATGGAACTCGATAGGTGTATAATAAGATCGCTATGTGTTAGGGTGGCAAGTGATGGACCAAAAATAGATCGCTAATCATTTGACGTCATCCAGCAATATGCTACTGTGAGTAATACCACTCTGCGCCGTCAGCCATAAAAAACATAAGGTTTAGTTTGTGGTTATAAGGGTGTCACTACATAGACTCTTTTTATAGTATTCAGAACATGGATGGACCCCTTCGGATCCGAGGTACAATAGGTATTCAGCAACCCATTCCGACTATGCTTGTCGTAAGAGCCGACTAACGGGATCGGAGGGTCAGGCTCGCTGACCTGGTTAATGCAGGTCATCGATCCACATTGCATAGATCGATGCTCATGATATCAATCACTGGATTGTCGGATCCAGACTAGATTATTTGCAGACTTCCGCCATATAGCTGGAATATTGCTGAGTTCGGCGTTAAATAACAAACAAACAAACGACAAGCACAGTCGCCTGTTCCGGCAAGCGTTGAAGTTCACGGGTCTCATTTATTGTGTGTCTATTTACTTCCCGTTTATCATTCCAGCTATGCCACAATTGTGGACTCCAGCAGACGCCGGGATTGTCGGCGTGGCGAGCGAACACTTAAACCACTAGGCTTCACAATGGGACAGTTTAAACGTCTGCACTTGATATCGATGCGACAGCCCGCACTGGCAACACATATTTCACATAAATGACATCACGTAGGAAGCACCCAGAAAATCGTGCGTTGTGTGTGCAGCCATTGAGTGGACGTTGAGTCACGTGCCAGCTGGTTGTAATCCATCTCAATCACGAAAGGCTGTAAATCTGAATCTGGGTCAACCAAATCAGTGGTCGACATCATTGGGAAGGATACACATTGAGACCACCCGATTGCCATGTTAATCACCTCTTTCCCCAAGCATAGGAGGCACTGGGGACATGTCCGCTTGCAAACAATGCCTGTGGGGTGGGTTTCTTACATCGAGAGGCACAGCGTAAATTTCATCTTAAAATCAAATCTTATGTCCCCCTTTCCCTAGGACCACGAATATTCCGAATCACCCCGAATCGGAAACTTTCGAAATTCGTGATGATTCGGCCAATATATGCAAATTTCGTGGCTAATCGGGTTGAAAAATTTGAAGAATGCCAAAAATGGGTTACGAATATGCCGAATGTTGTTCTTACTTAATTCTTACATGATTCGTAGTTGACTCGGGATATTTGTGGCTGTTTCGGGATGTTTTCGGGTTGAGGACACGAAATTTTGGAAGCCACGAATCGCTATGAATAGCCAAGAATGAATCGATTACGAAGCTGTTTCATTTAAGAACTTCAAGAAATGATTGAGATTTATCTACGAAAATGAAAAATGTCCTATTAGGGGTGATTCGGGATATTCGTGGTCGTAGTGAAATGGGGGCATTGGTGCTCGCTATCCTCCATTACAGGTAACCAAAGATCGAACGACCTTTCATCCGACCATTCAGAACGTCGCTTGCGAGATCGCGAAAGTGGCGGTCTGAATGTGTTTTTAGGATCATGCAACCTCGGAAGGTTTAACACTGGGCAATCAGAACGACCGTTACGATCTGATTCCGAATGCCAGACACCATCTATCCCTCGCTTCTATAGGATCAATATTTGAACCGGAGGACTTTCCAAAGCCCGTGGGAGGTACCACCATACACTCTCGGCAATCTTTTAGATATTCCAGATGTTTCTTTTGTTCAGGTTTCAAATTTTGAATCGAGAACTTTGTCAAAATATTTGTCAAAGCATAGTTTTGAATGAAGTCGCCATTTTGGAACTTGTGCAGTTCATGCTTTGTGATTAGCTAATATCATGTTGGGTCAAAGTTCGCGAAAAGTCATTCTGACGTGACCTGTAATGGGATGTTTGCGTAGCGGTAGCGAGCACTCAGATCTGAATTCAGTGAGATTGGGCACAGCGTTTGCCTTAAATCTTTATCGCGAGGGATTGTAACTTGCGAAAACCTCTAATCTGATGAAGGAGTAAGCATATACTCCGAAACGTTGTGTTCCTCATAATAAAGAAGTTGACATCCATAAATTCCCTTCCTCTCAGTATGATTTTACGAGGCATCATATATAATCTTTATTGTTCAATATTGACACAGTATCAACAGGTGGCATGCTGGATACACTAAGTAGACCGCCTTTATTATAACGGGTCATACATTTTTATGTTATGAACAATGTAAGTCTCTATAGTCCATGGGGCGGTCGGGTAGCCTAGTGGTTAAAGAGTTCGCTCGTCACGCCGAAGACCCGGGTTCGATTCCCGACATGGGTACAATGTGTGAAGCCCATTTCTGATGTCCCCCGCCGTGGTAGTGCTGGAATATTGCTAAAAGCGGCGTAAAACCATACTCACTCACTATAGTCCGTTTTCCTAAATTCAACTGTGGACCATATATTAAACCTCCCAGTCACACCGACACTAAAGAGCGAGGGTAGTATACTCCTTGGCACACGCCTTGCATTCGTATTACACCGGGACGATGCCGTTAGTTGTTGTCGGGAGGGCTGTACGATCAATGATCACGCCACACAGCCTGTGTCAGGCCTATGAGTCGTGTGTCGTCTGATGTTGTTAGTCACAGCAGCAGATGTCACAGTAGCTGAACATGAATAACTGAATATCCATGTGTGAAGTTTATGTCTGGCCACAAAAGTCTCTCACTCATGTCCATCTACCCCTAACACCACACAAATAACTGTGAGTGAGTATGGTTTTACGCCGCTTTAGCAATATTCCAGCAACATCACGGCAGGCGACACCACAAATGGGCTTCACACATTGTACCCAGGTCGGGAATCGAACCCCGGGTCCTCGGCTTGACGAGCGAACACTTTAACCTTTTAACCACTAGGCAACCTATCAGATATGAAAAACATAAAACGAATTAAATTAATTATTAAAAAATAATTAATTAAATACAAACAGAATATATTTCGGAAGATGCATGTATACTGTAATAACTGTAGTTATTAAATATATAATTATTTTGTAGTGGCCTTATTCGTCTCAGAAAACAATATAAAATTCAATAAAATCACCATTTTAAATTAACATGGTACATACATCATAAAAAATTCATAATAACTGTACGCAACGGTATATATTACGGGTTTATAGCTGTAATCACAGAATGAAAAATCTACCCAGATGACGATATGACACTAAACACCATACCATAATATACCGTGGGTAGTTGTTGATAATCAAGGTCAAGGTAACACAACAAGGCTTCCCTTACACCTGTGTGTTCTATTTATGGGGATTGTGTCATGGTGTGTCGTCACGACTTCTGCCTTGGAAAGCCTCGAGGCGGGAATCCACTGGAGTGAGAGCAGCTTCTGTCTTGATTTAGCTCACCTGTAAAATCCATCCGTATGATGCCTGCATATCAGCTCAACTGGTACACTATACCACCAAAGTGACACAGGTAGCTAGTTATTCATCATTACGTAGTGTGCAGATGTTGTTTGTGTGTACATATACATGTATATATGTCTCATGTCGTGGTTGTCAGTGACCGGGAAGTATGCCATTGTTGTATGTTTTATCATTGCATTGAATCAGCGTTATGGCGTGGCCTTGAATCAAAGGCGTTGTGGGTAATACACAGGGGTGGGGGTGGGAGTACACAGGGGTGGAGGTGGGTAATACACAGGGGTGGGGGTGGGTAATACACAGGGGTGGGGGTGGGTAATACACAGGGGTGGTGGTAGCTGGGAGTCAGGACCCATTCACCCCGGGCCCTTTACAATAGTAAAGTCATATAATCATGTCAGTTTGACCCATAATACTAGTCGACCCGTGAAGATCCGGGGTAGAATAGCAACCCATGCTTGCCGTAAAAGGCGACTATGCTTGTCGTAAGAGGCGACTAACGGGATCGGGTGGTCAGGCTCGCTGACTTGGTTGATGCATGTCATCGATCCCAATCGCGTGGATCGATGCTTATGATGTCAATCACTGGATTGTCTGGTCCATACTCGATTATTTACAGACCGCCGTCATATAGCTGGAATATTGCTGAGTGCAGCGTTAAACAACAAACAAACAAACAGAAACATAATACTAGTCATATATGTGCAACATTACTCCGGACAGCGCTGCTATCCTGTTCAATTCTACCCTATCCACCCCTTACTAACTCATCCCCAACACTGGCATTGGAAATCTGTCATCTCAAACCTAATCTTATTTTGGACGTATTTACATATCTGTTTTTAGGTATTAAAGAGTTAAGGTAACTCGAGTAAACATATGCCATCGGTTGGAAAAGATTAGCCTTGCTCCAAAGCTTTACTGAAAGAAAACTTGGATGTGTAGTAATTCTCTCCTCCTAATAGGAAAGTCTAGATATGTGGACAGTACATCTGAGGACTCCAGTCTGTTATAGGGATAACTTTTCTTATTATTTACATAATCTAGAAATTATTATTTAAACTAATAATCATTGCCTCAAAGACTTGTGCAAGTCTAGGAAGAGATAACAGTTGCTTGCCTCACGCTGTAGAACGGTTATGTAATCAGTAAAGGCTGCATCTAAAGTCGCACTTGTATACAACATTGACATGTAAGTTTAGGTATCCTGATTGTTAACATTTACGTCATTGACTAAACTTTGACATACTTTCGTTTCGGACAATCATCATATCATACAAAACGCGTTTTAGTGAGAGCATTCAAGCCTACGAGAGCTGTGAGCTGCATATATCTAGGCGAGAACTACAGTCACAATGAGTCACAGCCGGTTCGAAGGTAGGCGAAATAGATATGAAGGATGTCAAGGCCATAGCTGGTGGGGTTACCTCCGTGCACGGAGAAGCGAACAAATATCATTGTCGTAAAATGATGGCATGATGTTTCAGCTTACCCAAAATAAACCCTCAACCTGGTGATAAAAGTTGTGGTTGTCGGAAAGTGTTACTAAGAGTCAATGGATATTTAACCCGGTAAGTACAAATTTAGATGTGTAGGGGTTGAACTTCATTAGTGTTGTTATTTGCCGACATTACAATTAAATGCATTAACTGTAAATTATGTAAGTTTTGATTAGCTGTAGATCTGCTATTACGAAAGATAGATACTAGATGGATAGGTTTATGATAGATAGATTCAGTATGATATAGATAGATAGATAGATAGATAGATAGATAGATAGATTCAGTATGATATAGATAGATAGATAGATAGATAGATAGATAGATAGATTCAGTATGATATAGATAGATAGATAGATAGATAGATAGATAGATTCAGTATGATATAGATAGATAGATAGATAGATAGATAGATTCAGTATGATATAGATAGATAGATAGATAGATAGATAGATAGATAGATTCAGTATGATATAGATAGATAGATAGATAGATAGATAGATAGATAGATTCAGTATGATATAGATAGATAGATAGATAGATAGATAGATAGATAGATTCAGTATGATATAGATAGATAGATAGATAGATAGATAGATAGATAGATAGATAGATAGATAGATAGATAGATAGATAGATAGATAGATAGATTCAGTATGATATAGATAGATAGATAGATAGATAGATAGATAGATAGATAGATAGATAGATAGATAGATAGATAGATAGATAGGCAGGCTGGCAGGCAGGTCTAATGTACATTTGATTGATAATATATCTTCACGTGAGGTTAAGAGACTGCAAACTATGAACAGTTTAATGAAACAGAACAATGTTATCAGCAAATAAGAACATGATATCTTTAAGTTGTTGTAACACGAACATTCCACAGTTACATTATTCTTTCATAGTACACGCAAGCTTGGTTATAAAGAAGATGAATAAAAGTGGACTTAGGACACAACCTTATCTCACACCAGTGTTTGTTGGAAAACAGTTTTTACACAAGATTTAGCCCCGAATACTTACTTTTTAGGACACTAAATAATTTACCATGATAGCCATTGATTAGTAACAAAGGATAGCATTATTTTCATGTCAACAAAATCAAGATTCTTTATTTCAGTATTAGAGACCTCGTGGCCCAGTGCCAGTATTTATTTGTGAATCTTACACCAGTGATATGTAATGTAATAATACATAATATACTTAATGTACATCAATTTCTCTTGACATACAAAGCAAGACCTTTGATTGTTCAACGTGTTGTGGAGGACATTAGTTCAATTAATTTCTGACAAGAAGGATATGTATGGTAACATTGTGGAATGAATGTATTTCTACTTTGCTAATAATGCGAACAGTCAAGTACAAAATGGTGATGTTCCTCAACGATTAATTCATCACAATGGGCACAGTAGCAGGTAATCAATATTAGTTTTCGCATTATTTTTACTGCACTGCAGTGTTTGTATTTTAAACTAAGAGAAAGTGTGTGAAACTTAGCTAGAACACTGATCAAATCTTTATTTAACATACATCGGTAGTAATGACTTGTACGATTAATAATTTGAGAGGACATCGGAGCTAGTATTTCTTTTTAAACCATTTCTGTATCTCGGTATCTACACACATCTGTTTAAAGATAACTATGAAACCTTTAGTGTTTCCATAATTTTGTGCAATCCAGACATAGCAAAACCTGAAATAGTAAATAGTAACATTGTGGCATGTAAAACCTAATTTAAAGCCCCAAACGTACCATGCAATATTAACATTATAACATTAATGTGGTTATTCACCACGTTTTGAAACACTTTTTTTGAAGCACAATGAGTTTATTGTTTCACCATGGACATTATCTGGGATTTTTGTCTTAGATATTTTTTTCAGCTACAGATGCAAAACCAGATATTTCTTAAATTAAAACAATGAGCCTGAATAATTTTTTTCTAAAACACACCTTGCAACAATGTAAGGAAGGAAGGAAGAAGCATTTGGGGAGCCCATGCCCCCTCTTCCTGACCTTTTGGGAATGTGACTTTGAAGTCTGAAATAATGAAATAAGATTTTCATTTTGTGGGTGATATCTTACAAAGCTTTTTGTCAAAATAAATGTCTGGGCAAATATTTGTAAACGTTGTAAAACATTGTTTGACAACACACAGATGCGAAATGTCATTATTGGTTTTGTTTCGACGCCATCCTAAATGTTCCATTCATGAATGTGCATGATTTCATTATTTGATCAATTTTACAAGAATGTGTCAGCTGTTACAATCTCAGCATAAATTAGGTTATGTAGATGTTAATCTAGTATACATGCCAGTGTTCAGCAACGAGTAAGTTATTTAAGAAGCAATGGAATATTTGCCCACCTAACTTTTGACAACATTCATTGTGAAGCATACGAGTCAAAGAGCCGTAAGCGGCGGTTGTGTTGCCTTTTGATAAAAGCGTTCGCTTGACACACCGAGTTACCGGGTTCGATTCCACACATTGGTGCAATGGGAGATAATGCTTGAATGTTGCTAAACGCGGCGTAAAACCACACTTACTAATTCAGAACCGCCGTGTTTATTACTGTTATGTACTGCCTCAACTGCATTGGCCCCTCGGCCTGAGACGATAATTATCACTTTCCATACTTGCGTCGTCGTAGTCCAGCTATATGACAGCGGTCTGTATATAATCGAGCATGGGCCACACAATTGATATCATGACCATCGATCCACGCAATTGAGATATGATGACATGCGTCAACCAAGTCAGCGAGCCTGACCACCCGATCCCATTGTTCGCCTCTTACGACAAGCAGAGTCGCCTTTTACGACAAGCAGAGTCGCCTTTTACGACAAGCAGAGTCGCCTTTTACGACAAGCAGAGTCGCCTTTTACGACACGCATAGTCGCCTTTTACGACAAGCATAGTCGCCTTTTACGACAAGCAGAGTCGCCTTTTACGACAAGCATAGTCGCCTTTTACGACAAGCAGAGTCGCCTTTTACGACAAGCATAGTCGCCTTTTACGACAAGCAGAGTCGCCTTTTACGACAAGCATAGTCGCCTTTTACGACAAGCAGAGTCGCCTTTTACGACAAGCATAGTCGCCTTTTACGACAAGCATAGTCGCCTTTTACGACAAGCATAGTCGCCTTTTACGGCAAGCATGGGTTGCTTAAGACCTACTCTTCCCAGGATCTTCACGGGTCGCCATGATTATGACCTTTGGTCTATCAGCACCATGTCCGTGGCCGTATGTCCTACCACGGTAGTAGTCTATGAACTGTCTCACTTAAAGTTTTCTCCAACTGACATACATGAAATGCTAACTCACTCACTAACTCGATGATAATAGGAACACAGCGTGTTTACTATATCAAGTGTTTTTCCTTCAGTCTCGAGTTACATTTCTTTCTGAAAGCAAGTTAAAAGGTCTTTAATAGTTTAAGGACGGTGCTCGTGTAGTTCGGATTTCAACGGAATTTGTAGAGTATGTTAATTGTCAAATATTGAACTATTAGCCAAATATGAATATTCCAAACATCCGCGATACATGCCATGTTTGTGTTGCCATTTAGTTATATGTTTCATTGATGAGGTGACGGGGATTGGGATCTTTGTCATGATGACTATTAAGATAAATAAAGACTATTTGACATAGTCATTACATTAGGTTTTCTTTGCAAATGGACGTACAGAAGGATCCCCCTCTCACGTGCCTTCAGAGATTTGTTATAAGTCGGTGTTTCTGTCTTTCATGAACCATCCCACCCCGACCTATGATTTTGTTTCTAATGAGGCATTTAATCATTATACAACTGCACCCAGCAAACCTGTCAACCAAATTTGTAAATACTAAATATAAAGCATATGCATATGGCAAGTTAATTTCAGCAGAACTAAAATAATTACGTTTCTACAGTTTAGAAATGACGACACTGGATGAGGCTGATCATGACGTCACGTCCGGTGATCCTGAGCAAAGAAAAACCTCTGACCATGTGGACAGTGGCTGTGCCAGGAACTGGGTGAGCATCAAGTAACACTTTTATATGCATATTATTATTATTGTTATTATTATTGTGCAGATTAAAATAAATAAATGCAGCAAAGAGAGCCAGGCCGGTAGGGCTCATCATCAGCTCAGGGCCCTTGCCCCCTCGATATTGTATCCCAGACAGCGAATGGGACTTCTCCCAGGAAACGCTGCCTTGTCGAACCCACCCATACCTTTTCTGAGAATGTGAAGACTCCCCAATACTGCAGCCTTTTCCATTACCAAGATTGTTGGAAGGGCAGTGTTCCTGACATTCCGTGAGCGAGGTCCACATATTTACCTTGTTTTTCCTGAATCACATTAGTGACAGATGCATTGTGATTATTTTCGTTCACGTCTGTATCGTCGTCGTCACCATCATCATACTCATTATTCTTTTGAAGACCTACTTTCAAATTAAAGACGATAAAGTAGAGTAGAGTTCAGTTGTCTATAGTCTACAACTTCAATGTCATAAATGTGCATCTTGCAGTCAAGATTCAAAGGTATACGAAACTGTCATGGCAAGCTGAGTGAAGTAGTGTCATCTGTATTCAAGGACAGTGACCCCCCTCGACACAGGACCACCTCGGTAAGTAGTCAACACTCATGCCTCTTATGATTGCTCAATTCAATTTCGCAGATATGAATAATTTACATTCTACCATGAATTTGGAAATTACTCGATTCTGACTGGACAATCAGAGGTTATTAAATCACAATAAACCCCCTCTGATTAAAACAGCTGGTTTGACGGCCGCATCACCGCAGAAGCTAATATTCATAGAATAGAACTTTTTTCAATCATTGTCGGTAGGCGTATTTAAATAATTATACCTACAAGTATAGCTTACAAATTGCAAAGTTACCGTTACTTCAAAATTCAAAGGATGTGTGGCAATACATTTCGCGCAGAAAAAAACGATACAAATCAACAAAGAGGGTGTATTTTAAGTTTTGGAGACAACAGAGAGCTTGGAATTTTAGCGCTTTTCTATTTACGACTGAGACGTCACATCTTTTGCGTCACAATGAGAGATATGACGTCATAATGGTGACGTTCGCTGTGGAACGAAAGCTTTGCAAAGCTTGCTAAGTTTGCTTTAGGGGTGCCCACCTCATGTTAGCTTTCCAAGTTGCCGTGCTTATAAGCTGCCAATGCCTATCACATGTTCGAGTGAAGTATTACCGTGTAAACAACTGCCTGAGCATATACAGCACCACATAGTTTTTTTAGCTGATTCACAATGACCTTAACCAAAGAGGTAAAGGCGACACATTTTCCTACTTTAATCTGTAATGCTGCTTCAAAACCAAAGTACTGAAGAGCAGCATTAATTCCCAGGCCACTCAGTCACCCGTTGTAAGATAAAATGAGTTGGTTGGTTGCAGGAGAGTGACATCTCCAGACAAGTGAGTCATCTCCAGAAGGAGATGGAGAAACAGAGTGAGGGGCAGGCAAGCATTAAGCAGAGCCATGACGAACTGAAAAAGACTGTGTTGGAACTCAAGGACAGTGTAACATCTCGATCTTGCAGCGTCGGTGACATCTTCTCTCAGGAAGGACCTTATTGCACATCAACGCCAGCCCCTCGCAGGGTAATGACCGGCACAGGTCTTTCTTATACATCAGAAACATGGTAATATTCAAAATCCAACACTGAAGAAAACCCTCAAATGCCGTACCGTTATTTGAATGTATGCCATATAGCCTTCAAACTTTATGTATTAAGAACAGCTGGACGTAATTTTTATTGTCACACAAAAAAGCTTAATAAATTGTAATAATCCAGGCCAATGTTCTTGTCTCAGTATTTCTCTTTTCATCTTTTCATTTCGGACATTCCCCCTTCAGGTGTTCTCTCGCACCAGCAGCTCCACCAGTGTTCCTGCTTTCTGTTTCACATCTGGGACCACCTCGGACTTCAGTGAGTTGTCCTCATGCAACTCCGGCTGTACCAAGTCAATGGACATCTTGCGACAGAGGGACACTTTGGAGACGTGCCTGTCAAGAGAGGTAATTTGGACTTTTTGAGTAATCAAACAATTTGGAGAAAGGTGAAAGATCACTTGATTATTATGAAGGTACATAGTGTCTACAATGAACTGCCTACCCTTTTTCCGAACAAAATAATACTGCAATATGACCAACCTTTATGGTAAAAGCCACAGAAATGTGTCCGAACAAAATGTCCGTTTCTGACATCTGTAATTAAGATGAGGGCAATGGTTTAGCTTTTGATATAAATTGAATGAGTAGTCTAAATGTATATGCTTCACATTACATAATGTTAATCTCCACTCACACAGATGCTGAGGAATGTGGAAAGGCATTTGGAAGATGTTAAACTCAGAGACCAGCAGCTTTCAGACGATATGGCCCAACTGATGGCACGCGTGAAAGACCTCTGGCGTCTGAAGACTCGGGACAAACGTAACCGTGGAAGTTACCACTCCTTGGTGAATGCTGACCACAGAACAGATCCCCTGCCTCCTCATATCCAAGCCTTTTGTATGAAACTGGAAGATGTCATACGTACGTACAACGATAGGCTGGCCACCAGGTTAGCCCTTACCATATAAGACTGCCTCCGTGGTCTAGTGGTAGAGCGTCCGCCCGGGTTCAATCCTGGCCGCGTGACACAAAAAGACTTTAAAGTATGGTACTTGTTGTCGCTAAGAGGACTGATCGGCACGGAGTCAGTATACTGTGTCTGAGTGGGGTATTCATGTTAAATTGCGACATGGTATCTCAGTTGGCTAGCACTATAAAATCGGTATTATTCTGGACTAGTACAAGCCGTAACACACACACACACACACACACACACACACACACACACACACACACACACACACACACACACACACACACACACAGGGACTGGGTTATTTATTGTACAAATCAACGTTAATCCCTACTCACTCATTCACTCACTCATTTACCAATTTACATCCAAAGACATTTCAAACAATTGTACTACATGTATTTGTAAGAGGGTTTTACTGATGTTAAAACTCCACCCTTCCAGACGTCCGTGTGAGTGACCTGGCGAGATATCTCAACGTGTCTGACATGGGAATTCTGGAGGGTAACAACGCATCCTATAGGAGCCTGTTCTGGGGGGTAATACAGCAATGGAACATGGAATGTCAAGCTAGAGGTTCACCTGCACTGCTGGAAACGCTCATAGATGCATGTCAGAAGTGTGGCGTTCAGCATCCATTAAAAGGCAAGACAATTTAACCAAAATAATGTCCATAAATGTTGGTGTCAGCTCTGAATGGGTTTATCTTCAAATTATGTGTTTAATACTTATACTGCTGTCTGTCATATATATGTACAATAACTGGTTCATTCCTTGTAGTGGAGCCAATGCCAGTGCATCACCGCCGGATCCTAGAGCAGAACTACTCTTTCCTGGCCGAGCATGTGATGGTTCCTCTGTTACTCACGTATCTCAGGGACAGTGGATTCCTCACAAACGATCTCGTCCAGTATGTGCTGCAGCCGGACCCCAGACCAGATAAGGTCCACCGACTGGTGGACATCATGACAGTTTTCGGCAAAAAGTCCCTTAACCTTCTGCAAGATGCCCTGAGAAGGTCAGATCAGGGTCATATTGCCGATATGTTGGTCTGCCGGGATGATGAAGCGTTTGAACCAGGTGGGCGAAATATTTCAGCACTTTCAACCACAGAGATGGCCCCATTTCCACCAGACACATTAGGACTGATTCTACTTCAAGGACACGGGTCTTTTGCATGTCATTATGTCTAATTTATGATCCATATTTTTTTACAAGAAAAATATGACCCGAAATTATCTAGTATCGGAAATCCACCATCGTATAACATACAACAGTCACACAATAGATACCTGTTCCATGTTAATTAATTCGTCAATGCCTGAATAACCAAAATAAAGTTCACAAATGTAAATACTCTGAATGGAGCTCAATGTCAAATTATGTGTTTAATACATGTACTGCCGTCTACCACAAGCTTTGGTGAAAGTCATCTCTCTTCTATCGAAAAAAGTAAAGATTCTCAATTATATGCCGGTTAACTTTGACACCAGAAGAATACAAGCAGGACTATGGGTTCTATTTGCAACGTTTCTCGGCAATTTATAAGGAGTAATATTTGGAAAAACAAAGTAATGAGGACAGTTCTTCCAAGACAGTGCACAGTCTGTATATATATTGTGCTCAAACTGTAACCTGCACATACATGTATGTTATTCATTTTGTTTGTTGTTACCCAGATCAGACGGCCTCGGCTCTACCCAGTGAGTCAGTTCGCCTCCAGGAGAGCCTAAAGTGCCAGTTGAAGGAACTGAACATCTCCACAGATCAGATCAGGAGGCAGAAGGAGGTGTGTCAGGTACCCTCGTGGAAGCTGTGGTCAGGTGAGGCCCGCATCTTCTTTCAGTCAAGTGAACACCAGCCAGGGACAAAATGTCTGTATCACCTGTGCATGGATATACAGAACAGCATCACAAGTACCTTCTTCTCTGTGACAGCTACAAAGCCATGCCATGTTTGCTGTTTCTGGTATTACAGCATGCTTTGACTGAAACCGATTGATTAATCACTGTCTTACCTGTTACTCCAGGTCACACCTTGTCGTCTTCCATGATATTTTAATGATTAAAAGCGAGGTATATTTACTCATACCATGTTTGCTGTTTCTGGTATTACAGAATGCTTTGACTGAAACCGATTGATTAATCACTGTCTTACCTGTTACTCCAGGTCACACCTTGTCGTCTTCCATGATATGTTAATGATTAAAAGCGAGGTATATTTACTCATACCATCATTGTGAACGATGTTTGTTTGCATGTGATGTGTAATTTAAGAATGTGAGATACTCATAAGCCTAATAAAATACAATGTATATTAATGATAACACTATATACAAAAAGACAATGAATGCATTTCAGGACTGTTTCTCAACTTGGAGGTGTCAGTGAAAATCCCCCACCACACTGTAAATAGTCTGAGGCTGCTTATCGAGGCTAACCATCTGCGGAATTTTAAACACGATCATATTGTTCAGCTGTTTGGTGTCAGCATGCAGACAGACCCTCCATGGATCATCACTGAGTCAGTCACTGGGAACCTGCTGAATCACATCCGGGGTATGCAAGGGATGGAGGTCAGCGCTTCAATAATACTTGGAATGGCAACTCAGGTAACATATTCAGCAACTTTCGTTTACAAATGCACTGAAGACCCGTGCTTGTTATCGGAGTGAGTGAATGGGTGAGTTAGGTATTACACCGCTGTGAATAGTATTTCAGTTGTATCGAAGCGTGTCAATGGAGGAGGAAAGCCTGAAGTGATTCAGGTCTTAGACGATAACTTTTTTTGTGAAACCAACGAGCAAGGAAATGGAGTTGACAAGCCAGTAATATTAATTAATGTGTATCTGGTATTCTAGACTAACAATTAGTCCTAGACATAAGGTTATCTTATTTGAAAATATATCTACAAAATAGAAAATATTATCGAAATGGAAACCAGAACAAGGTGCTGAATTTCAGGATTTCCTTGACATGCCAAATCATTCCAGACCTCAGCTGGATGCGTTTTTGAATATATTATCTCGGTTCTAGGGAGACAGACTACTAGTATTCAAATCCACGTACATATGTTTCTGGCGCCCATGACGGACGCACATCAGTACATGGAATTGCGGCACTGTGGACGACTGGTCCAGTACCCGTTCAACCACTCCTTCCCTTCCCTTCCCTTCCCTTTCCCACCTTATTAGAAGACATTAGGGTCGGTCGTCATTTCCCATCAGACTACAGTGGGCGGTATTGCTGGACAGGATTATGGCAAAAGGAACCCAACCATCAGTCATTACCTTGTGTTTGTTGTTACCATGGCCATGTTAATCAATGCTCACTGTATCAGCCAGATGCTTGGCCATGGGAAGGACTGGCAGGAAATATTATTGTGCACATAACTACCATATGGCATAACAATCTGGCGGCAGAATTAAACCCTGTTCAAACTGTTTGTCTTCCAACCAAAGTCTTAAATCTTTTCATGTCTTGCACATAACGAAAACAAAACATAAAGAGCCCCTATGAACTGTATTTGCAGAGTTGTCCCCTTTAGAGGCCGAACACCAGTTATCAGATTGGTTTTGTATTGTTATACTCGGGAACAATATCCAAGTAAACAGGCAAACCAGTGACTGAAATCAGTCCCCGATCATTTCCAGTCCCCTCTACGACAAACATAGGTTAATTCATAGGATGAAAACACAATGACATTGACAATTCCTGATAGGGTACTATTATATAGTTAGGCGTAATTCTCAGTCAAAAAGTAAATAAAACCGACAACATTCGTTTCATGACCATAAAAACCAGAGTTGTTTGTACGATTCCGTCTAAATCTTGAGCATGTGTTTATGAATCACTACTAAATTATACCAGGTGTTCGCGAAAAGATGAGCAAATGCTGCCCCACCGATGGCACCCATCAGACACACTCAACATTCAAACAGATTAAGTTCAGATAATTGTATTCAATGACAATATGTGGAAAACATACCCATTGCAAACACAATGGGCTTTTGTTTCTGTGGCTGGAAACGTACCAGAATTTGTAAAATTTCAAATGCATTTCTTTTCGATTTGCTGACATTTTCACCCCAATGAAACTATGCACATGTTTGAGGTAGATCTGTCACTAATTGTTTTGGAAACCATGCACGAAAACTCCCATGATGTTCCGCTGATCCCACCGAAGCACTGGTAAAAGATACCAGTTAGTATGGTGGGCAATCCATGGCTGAGCTGAATGCTCCAATATCTTGGCATGGGATATGTGCTTAACCCCTAACTCACTCATTCCATATATGTTGTTGAGGGTGTTAATTTCCTTTGGATAACACTCAGGATTTCCAGCTCAGTAACATGATCCAAATGCCCCTACAGGAATGTTGCTCAATGAATGAATGAATGAATGAATGAATGAATGAATGAACACTTCACACTGAACTCGGTGAGATTAACCAGATGACCCTGCAGGGATATAGTTCCATTCAGTGCACCAGAATGAATGAATGAATGAATGAATGAATGAATGAATGAATGAATCCCACCAGAAAGTGTAACCCAATCTAGTGTATGACAGAAGTGATATATTTTCATTTTATTTTGATGAATGAACGTCACATGTTATTGCAGCTGAGCAGCGCTATGGTTCACCTGGAGGGGAAGGAATGCATCCATGGGGACTTGCGAGCTGAGAACGTACTGATGACCGACAAGAAAACCCTCAAGGTTGCCAACTTTCATGTCACGATCCCTTCTGACAAGACTGATGAAAGTATGTTGGTTTCATAATGTATTCGTTTCCGAACAGAATGAAACATAAATATAGATATGCCAATAGTTTCATATTAGCATGTCTCTCACTAGTACCTTATGGATTCTAGTTGCCAAGAAATGATGCCTTCCAAAGTATGAAGTATATTGATTGCAGTGGTAATGCCCACATCTCCCTGGAGACTAATTCTTTACCAGTTCAATTACCTGTTATTTTAATCAATTCTCACCGATTCTTGATGACCTCTTAATATGTCAAACCTCAACGTAAGTAGAATGGTACTCCTTTCAGTGGCTAACTACAGCAGATGGTCAGCTCCCGAGGTCATCAACTCAGGGGTGAGGTCCACCAAGGCGGATGTATGGGCCTATGGTATACTGTTGTGGGAACTCGTCACCCTGGGAATGGTTCCATATCCAGGTAAACTCGTCATCACCACACATAAAGCTAACACCTGCTACATTGTAGCTCTGCATATTTCGGAAGTGGTTACTAACATGATTGCAAAATCATGTTATTCCTGTAAAGTAATTATGTCCAACGCTGTAATATTTAAGCTAAACTTGTTTTATATTTTAGAGTGAAGGTGCGTGTTTTCTTCTGTATAGATTTTGCAATCGACCTTATGGCGGACAAGGTTCTTCGGGGATACGTCATGCCTCATCCACGTCCACAATTCCAAGCCCCCTTCGTCATATTTGACATCATGAAAAGGTGTTGGAGATATCATACTTCTGAAAGACCAAACTTTAAAGAAGTGGATACTGAGCTCACAAATTGTCTGGAAAAACGAAACCTTGGACGAGAGGTAGGAAGCTATTTGAAAACATATTAGAACATGTTTGCAAAACCAAATGTGTGAACTCATAGCCTTTATTTGCACGAATGCATCGGACCAATTCACAAAAGGAAATTAAATATCACAAGATATATGTCTCAACATCTACCTCTCTGTATGACTGAAAGTCGTTATGTGAAAATTGCTTGATTGCAGGATCACTCCCCCATGATAACTTCAGTGGAAGTTAGCATTGTAGGTAAATGTAAACTTCAAACTGATTCCCATGCATGATGTATCCAATTGATATTCACAATTGAAAGCTCCAGAAGTCAAGAGTATTTTGTAAGAATTTAACTATTTTTATGATTGCCTGAATACATTATCAGTGTGTAAGAAACGTGTATCTTACTACAGCGCCCAAGACATAACATGCTGAACAGAGGGTCACGTCGCTCGAGTGTGGACAGTCGACGTGACTCCGTCAGACGCCAACGTAGGATCCGACAGAAGAAGGAGACGCAGGAGGGGGTGTTGAATGAAGGACTACATGTGCCCATAGGTGCCCAGAAATATCCTGAGAAGGATGATTGCACGAAGAAGGAAGAGAAGATGAAGAAGAAAAGCATATGGGAGAGATTGGGACTGGTTAGGAAGAAGAAGAAATAAACATGTCCATTTTTCATACTTCACATATGATATCATTGTGCATAGTTTTCTCATGAAAACGATTTTGTCGCTTTTATATTCAACATGACCTCAACTGACCTCTTATCAGGCATGTCATCGTATCAACATTCATTTCAACATTCCATACAGCTGTCAACATTCATTTCAACATTCCATACAGCTGTCAACATTCATTTCAACATTCCATACAGCCGTGCAGATATAGAAACCGATTGCACAACACAGTATTTCGTGATGATTGCTCACATTGAAAAGATAGTTAATACATTGTGTTTTATCAACCGTACCCTACCAAGCTGAATTTGTACAAACCATTTCAGTACATATTTACACTCTCGACAAAATGGCAAGAACTGATATAATTGTACAATATGGTGGTCTATTGCCATTGCAATGTAGCAGGCCACTGGAAGTTCCGAGATAATAGTTTTACTGTATAGATTATGAAGTATTGTACTGCATTTATTTCGTATATATATATATATAGATAGATAGATAGATAGTTTTACTGTATAGATTATGAAGTATTGTACTGCATTTATTTCGTATATATATATAGATAGATAGACAGATAGATAGATATAGATATATATATAGATATATATACTGAACCAAATTAAAAACTTCACAATCCTAAAATTTAAACATTTTGACCAGTTATCATTGTGGGCCCTTATTGTGTATTATACAGTAATGGCCACGTATTGTCTTCAGATAACACCCGTTTTTGTGCAGGTGAATCGATCAAAATCATGTGCACAGCACTATAGTGGCAAAAAGGGTTTTTCACGTGCAACTGGTCACGTGGCCATAATACCGCACGTGTTTTCAGCCATACTTGTTAGCAGTCATTAACAAAAAAAGAAAAACACAAGATAACAAATTAAAGTCTTTACGGCCATTTGTCATGCCACGCCTTTCAAATGTACAACGTGAACGTGCCATCAGCATGTTGCAGACGGGAACGTCCGTAGCTGAAGTCGCAAGGACGATGGGTTGTAGTCGACGGACTGTTTATGATTTACAGACGCGTCTACAGCAAACGGGTACCACCGCTGATCGCCCTCGGCCAGGTCGACCACGTGTGACGCCACATGCAGAGGATCATCAGATTGTCTTACGTCACCTCCGTAAACGATTTTTGACGGCTACATCAACCAGAAATGAACTGTTTAGGGTAAGACTGAGTGCGCAAACTGTTCGAAACCGTCTGAGAACTGCTCACCTTCAAGCACGACGACCATACTGCGGGCCGGTTCTGACTCAATTACACAGACGTCAACGTCAATTGTTAGCACAGCGACACTTACGATAGACTCAGAGGAATTGGAATCAAGTCGTCTTCAGTGATGAATCCCGATTTAATCTTCGATTTGCTGATGGTAGGGCGAGGGCGTGGAGGCGCCGTCATGAACGTTACGCCCAGTGTTGTGTACAGGAAGTTGACAGATTTCGAGGCTGAAGTGTCATGGTGTGGGGTGCTTTCTGTGGCAATGCACGTTCCAGGCTTCTTGTCATCCGTGGCAACCTCAACGCTGCTGCTTACCGCGACCAGTAACTGGCACCAGAACTTCTGCCTTTTATGGCAGCACATAGACCCAGTTTGATCTTCCAACACGACAATGCCAGACCCCACACAGCAATTTTGACAAGGAATTTCCTTTAGAATGCGGGAGTCAACGTCATGGATTGGCCGTCAAGGTCTCCCGACCTCAATCCAATCGAACACGTCTGGGATGCTCTTGGCAGAAGTCTGCGCACTCTCCAGAACCAACCACAGAATTTGCAAGATCTTGGCACCATTTTGCAGCAACAATGGCGTCGTCTTCCCAATCATGTGTTCACAAGCATCACAAGGTCCATGCGGAGGCGTTGTGTGGCAGTTGTCAACGCACATGGTGGCCATACACGCTTCTGAACTTGTGTGCCATCAGATTCTCGTGCTTGGGACTTATGATTTAAACTGTTGATGTTATTACCGAATACCGTAGGTGCTTGGAACAAATTATGGTTACCACCGTTAATTAAAATCCTTCTTTGGACATTAATTATTAAAAATTACCTTCTCTGATACATCTGTCCGTTGTATATCATATATGGGATTACTTTTAAGTTTTTAATTTGACTCTAATTTGCTACTATTTTCATATATTTAGTGACTTGTAAATGGCCTAACAATACATAAGTGGCATTTTTTTAATTCTTTCTTTTTAACATCATTTATTTTCTCTTTTGTTTGAAGTTATATTTATATCTTTACATCAGAGGTAATTTGGGTATTGTACCAGGCAGAGTTTTACATTTCAGAAAATGAACAGATGTACATAGTATTCTGTGTGTAACTTATCTACAAGTAGTATTCGATGATGGTGGAATTAATGTGTTTTTGTGTGGCAGATGACATTGTGTTTCCACCTTCTAATATTTTGAAGATAGGTGTATGAAGGGGAGCTCAGGGTTTGACAGGGGAGTCCTATCTGTAGATAACAGCGACAATTCCCTTTCCATATTCATAAGAAGTATCTGCTAAAAGCAGAGTCGATTGTACGGTTCCGATTAGATCATGTGCATGTGCTTATGAATCACTATCAAAACAGTGATAAAAACAAGGTGTACGCGAATAGGTGAGCGTATCCTGCTCTGCCGGTGGCATCCGTCACAAACACATGCAAAGACAAGTCAGTTGCTCTCCTGAAAACAACACGGGGACATAGGATACAAGTCAAAATAGGGAATTGCATCGGACATCATATTGTCTCTGATGCGCCCAATTTGGAAATGTCCTCCACAATGCCTACCAAAAAAATTTACATAGGCATTGAATGCTGTAACTTGGATCAAACAAAAAAATTGAGCAAGAGTCGTATGACGCTGTTTGAAATCTTGGTTGAAAGAGCATGCTCGATTGTACCTCAAAAGTTGTAAAATGGAAATACCAAAGGCTTGAACCTGTTGGGATATTGCTCGACATATAGGGAAAGTTTACATTTTGAAAGTTGAAGTCATCCCTCTTGTCATACAAAGTGGGTTTCTTCTGTACGTCTGTAAAACAAAACACGATAACCAACTGAGAACATGATATGGCTAGTCTTCATGCATACGTGCATAACCATGTGCCAAAAGATTTTTGCTTGTATATATAAAAAACAGACTGACAAATTAATTTCAGGGGCATTCTATGAATGTATAAGTTATTATTGAAAGTATTATTTACTTTTCTGACAAAGATTGACAGAAGTTTTATATGTCATGTATAATACATTAAGAATCCCTGTTGTAAAGTGGCATCTGTGCATTACTTTAGCAGTAGTTAGTTTAAGCAACAGCTGTATCACCCGTGAGACGTTCTGTTGTTCTTGGCAAACATGAGGATGACTGAGGTCGTTCGTGTTCAAAAAATATTTTACAAGTTTTCAAAATTTGACACATAGTGACCAAAATGATATCCGATGCAATTCCATATCTTGACTTGTACCGTATGTTCGTTCACCTTTTCGCGAACACGTAGTATCACGACCATTTGATAGTGATGCCGAAACACATGTTAGTCGGAATCGCTAGATCGACTCTGCTTTAGGCAGAGATTTCTTATAACCATAACAGTGTGTTAGATCAATGTCAATTTACAAAACTCGTAACTATCAAATACATTGGATGAGGAAAGAAATGGCAAAAGAAAATGGACATAAATATAGCATATTGCCTGAGATAATATCGTCATCTGCTTGTGGCGAGACTGAGGGTTAAACTGAATACGTTCTGGGAACATACAGTGAAAAGTATAGCAGTATATGAAATGAATCACATTCAGTATGAAATGAATCACATTCAGTATGAAATGGTCAAGGTATGGGTTTCAACCTTCTATTTACTTTCAAGGATGCTACCTTTAAGAAGCAAATATCAGGAGTCAACTCCGTCTTCATTGTTACAACACTGTTCTAAAGTGTTGTAACATTGTATAATGTATTTCAATTGTTGTTTACCTGTGGCCAGACTGAGAGCAACCCCCGACTCCAGCACGTTGAGGAATCCAAACACATGGTACAGAGTGTGTAGGACAGACTGTGGAAGCCATCCAGGTCTGATATGGTAGAAATAAAAGTTTGCTTTAAAATAGTACAATGATAGGTTTGTTTATCAATTGTGCCAGATGCCACATGGTACTACATTATTACTACCCTGGTGAAGGGATCAGTGTGCACTCGATTTTGATTCTCAACTCCCTAAGGAGTATATAACTCAGGCTGCCTGTGAGGCATTAGAAGGTCACACTACCATCTCACCCTACTCTCAACAGTCGAGTCAACTGCTCTCCACTAACAACGTTCAACTTGCTTAACGTCATCTCTTTTGTTGTACACACGACCGCGTGGCACCACAGAAATTAGAAGGTGGTGATTGAAATAAAGAGCATATCGAATAATGATTGGATAAAATATTTGTTTGTAAATGCAGGGTATGAAACTCCCAAAAATTTCAGCCAGACCAGAGGACTGGCTAGCTGAAAAACTTGCCAGCCCTGACCAAAACCTGCCTGCCCACTATAATCATATGTTTCTCAGGATAAGCTAACGGGATTTCTTTTTGGTTACATTTTATCATTCATCTTTACAAGTGAATTAATGATTATCATCGGGAAATATTTAGAATATTGTCACATATGAAATATAACCCGACCGTCGGGCAGGGGTATTTGAAAATCTGGCAGCCCGAGTTGAAATCAATCCGTCTCGGACGGTCGGGCAGGCAGGTATTTCGAACACTGGTAAATGGAGTTTTATGGAGTAAGAAAATAACGTCTGACGTTTGTCATTGATACATTCATACGTTACCCTGTAAATTGCTGGAGATTGTGATTATTTGAGTTTGGGCTCATGACGGTGATGTAAGTCATTGAATATGACAGGGAGAGCTGACCACTTGGACAGTGATCTGTTGGGACAGGGTGGGAAGGGGCGTCTGCCTGCATGATCTCATCATAAAATATCATCGCCACTCTAACTTCATCAACTCGATTCCTATAAAATTGGCCATCCATCTAATTCCATTGTTCACTTTATCATCATCAGCTCATGTAATCTTAATGAAACAGCATCAAATTGCACTGTGTCTAACATCTTCTCTTTGTACTTCAATCGTTATTGTATAAACCTTTAAAATGTATATATCCCCATAGGTCACCTTGCTGTACATCTCTTGCGTGAGAAAAGGTGTTTCTACACTGAAGCGTCGCCTCAGTTGTAATAAAGAAGTTATTTGTCCATAAGGGTTTGTCCTTCTTCATGACACCAACTTCCAAATGCCACTCATATTTGACACGTTTGCACCGCCTGCACAGTCCTCCATATACAAGTTGCATCCGTCTTCTATAAAACAACTCATAATAGACCACACGTTGGGAGTTTAAAAAAACCCACATGAAACCCTTCTTATAATGTTAAGTTTCTCATATTGTTAAATGGAATCAACTGAAAAGATGTAATAACA